TAGAAAAATCGCCAATTGCAAATCATTGATTTACAGGAATAACTATAAATTTATATATTCAATGAAGTTTGTGAAATGCTTGATCGGTCTTAAAGTAACGTTCTAATACGTCTTGATAGAATTTGAAGAATTTCGTCTATTGAATATGTTTGATGGCCAATTAAGCCATTGGCACAGTTTGAAAAATTGTATAAAACTAGAGGTACTGTGAGCAATGCCCCTGCGAGATGATCATGAATAATTCATGATTTTTCTTGAATTTTTCATGAATTTTATTCATGAAATGTTCATGAAGATCCTATGAACTTATTATTGGACATTTTCAAATCATGGATTTTTATTCATGAAAGAATATTGACGAATATTCATGAATATTTTTTTCATGAATAATTCATGAAGAGTCAAGAAGATTCATTGTTTCAAGAATTGTCCAATAATAAGTTCATTGGATCTTCATGAACTGTTCATGAATAATTTGATGAATTTATTCAGGAATGTTCATGAATGAATAAAATTCATGAACCATTAGCATTCATGAATATTCTTGCTTATTTGTTAACAAAAAATGCAATATTTTTATTCACATTTATTCATGAAAATGCATGAAGTCATGCTAAAAACAGTAACAGTAGATGTTTTATAATACAGCATCTTGAAAGATTTCACAGAATTTTTGTTTTTTTCCAACCATGGCAACAAAATCTTTGTTGAAATAGACAATTCTGATATATTAAACCATAGTAAATGAATAATGTAGTTCACTACTGGTAAAAGTATGAAAAATTTCAATTCAAACGCAACTCTTTGCAGAACCTTTCTTGGTCAAGAGGAGAGGAGCGTCGTTCCTCATCATATTTCAAAGCGTGTTTTAATGCTAGAAATGGAACAGTTTTTAATTTCAGTCTAGGGGAAAAGTTTGTTCAGCACCAGGACAACAGCTTTAAGGGCTTTCAAGCATTTCGAGCAGAGATGGTCAATTCAAAAATCCTTATTGTCTCTCCATGTGGAATTTCCAGAATTTCATCATTTGGATCCTTTGATTGAATATTATTCATATTTTCATTTCTTTCTTTCTTTATTTACAAGAGCTCAGATTTTTTTTGCAGCCGCTGCCAGTGTTTCTTGTCTTCTGCTCATCAACATTTGTGAACTGCTTCTCTTTTTCCTTCAAGAAAAAAAGATTTTTCTGAAAATACTTATGATGTAAAACTTGAGATATTTTTGCATCTTAGTTTCATTTAATTTTGCATCAGATGCACTTTCAAATTAAAGCATTCTGAGTAGAATTTAAGCCTATTTTCCTGGGCCGCCATTTTGTAGATCAATCAGGCCTATTTGTTTTGAGTCTCATTCTATAATTAATGTATGTTAAATGGTTGGATCCCAACTCTAAGCAAAGTTTTACAAAACTTTCATTAAGAAAAAGACATAATAATTTATTTTACAAATAGACAGTAACATTTACAGAACAGATTTCTGACGAGTGATTGCCTCCATTTTTTGTAACTCACCAGTTATGAAGTAGATTGATCCTCTGAATATATATTCTTCCTTCTTCATATTCTGTTATTTTCTTTAAAAGTTGACAAATATCGGTGACTATGCAAATCATAGATCACAAATACCTATCCTCCCAATCTGCAAATTCACACTTCCAACGTCTCGCGCGTTTCAAGTTTGCGCCTTTTCAAAAATGTAAGGTAGAGCTAAGAAATACGTTAGTTTCGAATTTCCAAGGTTTCTGTTTAAAAAAAATTAAAAGCACTATCTGAATAATTTTTCACTAAAAATACAATTTTTTATTCAAAGTAAGTTTTATCAATAAAGAATTCGATTTTTTTTACGTCATCAATTATACCTGTATTGCATTTTAGTTTCGTAGCAAGTATTGCGGCCCCCATTAACAGAGGACATCGATGACATGATAATAACAAACTCTCGCCCTCAGACTGAGAATTCTGAGCTGTGAAAACGCATAGGAGAATAAAAACTACAAAATACGAATGTGGATTATGTCATAGATACTTTACAACCATGCAGTCTGTGCTTTATCATTTACACACGAATCTGTAACACGAAGCAAGGGAAACTTTTGACATTTTAACTGCACCAAAAATATGTATAGCGGTTCGATCCGGGAATAATACAGTACAGACAAGAGATATAATTTTTTTGTTGTTAATAAATATATAAAACGTTTTTGAGAAGATCACGAAGTTTTTTTCTAGAATGTTCAAGTTCGACATTAGAGAAAATTCGGTCGAACAAAGTTGTGTTGTGAAAAACGAGATTATTTAAAGCATGATCAATATAATTGTTCAAGTTAGATTATGAAGGAACATAAGTAATCAATTTGAAAAAAAAATGCTGTCGATGATGATGCAGTGTAATCAAATAAAAACACGAATTGTTTAGAGATTTCATGATTTATTTTTTCAGATAATTGGTGAATGCATGTTATAAAATATACATTATACCAGGGGCTTGTTCAACAATTGCATCTGCATGCAAAAGTTGTATTATGAGAGTAATGAGTGTTTTCTGTCAATTATTTTAGTTTTCATGAAAATTCATGAACATTCATAATATCTTGAACTCTACATTTTTTCTGTCTTTAAAATGAAAATTACCAATATTCATATATATTCATCATTTGTTCATGAACTACATTTTATGAATATATTCATGAATAAAGTTCATGAACCATCTTTATGAACCAGTCATGAACCATTTATGAACACATCATGAATGTTCATGAACGATTCATAAAAGTTCCTGAAATTATGAATTTCACCTCGCAGGGGTGCGCTCACAAAGTGATAAGCCCGCCTCCCATTGAATATAATGGCAGTGTCCATGCTTTGCTAGCCCAAAATATGTGTCGGATCAAAAAGTAAAAAATAGGAGGTCACAATGGCAATAGCCATAGCTTATTTTAAAGTTTGGTAAGAAGTTTGGGGCTTATTGGGGGTATGTTATAAAGATTCGTCAAATCTTATTTAGTGGTATGAGAGGAGCTGCGGATAAGAGATAGGTACCCAAAAGCGTAACAGACCGACGGACAGACAGACAGACGGACGTGCAAACGGACGGACATACCGATTACAATATACCTTACCGCTTTTCAAGCGGGGGTATACCGGTAATAAGCAATCAAATCTTTATATTCATTGGCATTTTTTATTTGCTTCAATAAACATGTATAAATTTTAAAAATCTACAAATTCAGGGGGATCTACTAAATCCACTCTCTCTCTCTCAACAACTATCTCTCTCATCACCCCCTCCATTCCTCTCTCCCCAATCCAACTCTCACTCATCACTCCGATTCTCTCTCCCCATCCACTCTCTCTCCCTCTCCACTCCCTCTGTTTCCCTCTCTCTCTCAAACCCCTCTCCCGTATTTCTCTCACTCCTACTCTCTATCAACACTCTGTCTCTCTTTCCTGCACTAACTTCAATTTCTCCCCACTCCCGGCCACTCCCTCAATCCACATTCCCATTTTCCAATATTTCTACTTCCCTTAACTCTTTCTTTCTCCCCCACTCCCTCTATATCTCTCAAATCTCTCTCCTAATTTCTTCCCTCGCCACACCTTCTCTCTCCCTCTCTCCATCCCACTCTCTTTTCTCAATCCCACCCTCTCTCTCCCAAATCAAACTCTCTCCACTCCTCTCTCTGTCCCATCTCCCACTCTTCATTCTCCCCTTCCTTTATCTCCATTCCCACTCTCTCTAATTAAACTCCAACTCTCTCTTCCAACTATCTATCGCTCTCTCCACTCTCTCTTACTCATTCCCCACTCTTTTGCTCCCCACTCCTTCTGTCTGCCGCCCCTTCTCACTCCCCCTCTCTCCTTCTCCCAAATCTTACTCTCTACCAATTCTCAATCTCTCTCCAAACTAAATTCCTTTGTCTTTTCTCTCTCAATCCTTACGCTCTTCCTTCCTTCTCTCTCCTTATTCTCACTCTCTCCCCACTCCCCCTCTCTTAATTCTTCAACTTTTTCTCCCCAGTCACACTCTCTTTCTCCTTTTCCTCCCTTTCCTTTCTACCCATTGTCTCTCTCCACTTTTTCTCTCTCTTTCTCTTTCCAATTCGTCTCTCTGCCTCACTTATACCCCACTCTCTCCCCTTACTCTCTCCCACTCCCCCGACTCCCTCACTTTCCCCTACTCCCCCTCACCCACTCTCTCTCTACTCCTCTGTCCCACTCTTTTCCCCCACTCCCTCTTTCTCATCCCTCTCTCCCCTACTTCTTCTGTCCGTTCTCTCTGTCCCTTTCTCCCCACTCCTTTTCTCTCTCCCACTTTCCCCACTCCCGCCACTCCCTTTCTCTCTCCACAACCCCCAGCCTCTCTCCCCCACTCCATCTCTCCCTATTCTCTCCACTCCTTACCCCCCTCTCCACTCCCTCTCTCCCCACTCCCTTTCCCTCCCCATCTCTCTCTCTCACTCTCCCTTCGTTCTATTTCTCATTCTGTCCCTCCCACTCTCCCCACTCCCTCTCTCTCCCTCTTTCCCAACTCCTTCTCTCACTACCGTCTCTCCCCCACCAAACATGGTCCTTACAAAATAATGACTTTTGATCTCCTTGTTTCATCAAAATGTTTATCATAGTTTAAAAATGATGAAATAAGATTTTAAAAATTAAAATATTTTCTTTAAGTTATAATGACATTCAAAGAACCACACATCTTTGCAAGATTGTATGGCAAATAGGTATAGCAACTGGAAAAGTGAATGAGCCAGGTATGTATGCAAAAGTACTTAGTGACTAGTAGGTAATATAAAAATATTTCAGTATTTTTCATAGAACAGAAAGGCAAGGTAATCCAAAACATTTTCTTTTATAAGGTACTTCTTACCAGACGACAGGATTCAAACATGTTTTTAAATATCAAAAGGAACATTCCATTACATTACGTCACCGATGCTCGGCTTACCAAGTTTTGCTCTATTTACGGCTTCACCGTAATTAAACTTCCTCATTTGCAGAAATCAAACGACGCAGTTTACCAGACAATTTTATACTTTACAGATATGACTGATGTTAAAATTTAATGGATCTTCAGTATATTATCTGTTGTAGCTTCAGATTGTAAGTTATAAATTTTGATTTTAAAAGCATCTAGGATGGTTTTGCAACTATTATTTAACTATTTGAACTTTCGGTCAATTGTAGGTCAGATTCTTCTGTAACTTTTTGTATGGTTAATTCCTGTATAAAACAGCACAATTTGCCTTTCTGTATATCCATGTGTAAGGCAGGATGCAATACATTTCAATATTCATGGCATACGTTTCATAATACATTTTATGTCGACAGCAAAGAAGGTAAATATAAATAAATATATCTCACTATGCACATCTTATTAGTCAGGGGTTTAATTATTTTTATTGAGGACAATTTCCTTTAACTTCTTTATACAGTTGGACTACCAACAATATGCATATTTCTGGTATGAAATCATTGATTATTTTTTAATATCAAAAATAACAAATGAATATGAATTTTAAAATAATCATCTTACAAAAAATATAACTGTTATCAAGAAAACAGGATTGAACTATGTATACACGTATATCACAGGGTCTCACATTGAACATCGGGACCCAGGAAAGTATCTTTGCCCTCTCAAAATAATCATATAAAGGAATTTAGTGTTCTCTATATTATAAACATTATTGCTGGCATTGAGTCCCGAGAAAAGACTTAAATTTGAAGTTCTTCTGGTGATGTCAAATAAGATTTAAACATTCATACAAGTGACGTATTATGAGCCATTCTGTATGACAACTTAAACTTCGTTGCCGTGCATGGTCACCAGTTTTGATTTCACTTCATTTATAATTATTTCTACGTAAGTGGTAACCAAAGGTACATTTGGAATACATTTAAAATGCAGAAATATGCTGAGAAGAAATATGTTGGGAAAAGGTCAGTTTTCACTAATAATGTTGCATGATCAAACTCAATCAACAACTTAAGAAAAACAATGAAAATGTTTGACCTTAGGTATATAGGTGTAAGCAATATTATTCTATAAATAACTTTTTGGTTGCCATGGTAACACTTTTATCAATTAAAATAAGTAATTAAGATTGTGTTTATGGTACTGTCTTGAGGAAAAACACGAAAATTCAAGACCGACAAATACGCATCCTTAGGACCTTGCAACATCAACACCATAAAAAAGTTTGGATTACTTTGTGGTGTTGCCAAAGAGACACCGTGCCAGATTGTTAAAAGTGATTTATTTTGCTGCATTTAGAATTCAGTTGACATTAAATGAAGAAACATATAATAATATGACTTACTTTGAATAGTACTGGTACAACTAAAGTTGAATATTATATATTGTTTAAATTTGATGAAAAAACAACACTGTTGATATGGTTACCGATAAGGAAAAATCTTCAATTTTGTTAAACTTTTAATCAATTCAAAAGACCATGTGTGCCAGCCTCTTGCATCCAGTTAGAGGTTGGATTATAGCCAAAATTAAAAGCCTGGTTTGTAATTAAGAAATATCAATCATTAAAGTTTTAGGAATCTACATTTAAGAGTATGTATCCAAGGAAACTACAATTTTTTTCAGATTTTTAAGCATACATGTATATTTTCTGCTTATTTCCATATCTATTAAATGCTCTATATAAAGAATCTGATTTCAATTATTTTAAATGGGAAAATCAGGACCACACTAATATCTTTAACAATTAATCATCAGTAAAAAGAAATAGTGCTTTTTTAAAAGATATAATCAGATTTAAACATACAGAGTGAAAAATTTAAGGGTCTCTTTGGTATATAAACCTTGGTAACCATTTACAACCAAATGAAATATCTTAATCTGTTCTTGGTTAATGTTTCAGGGCTATTTTCTCTATTATTGGTTACATTTTATCCTATTATTTATCAAACATGTTTATCAAGCATTTAAAAAAAGACATCATGCAGACCTTCAATTTAGGAAACAATCATTGCCAATTGTTTGTTTTGCCGCATATGTTAACTATGGGGCTCTAAACATGTTAAAAATTTCATTTTTTTAAACTTTAAGATTTATTGCCATGGTAATTATTACACACAGCAACCAATTTTTGCCTGAAAATAGTTTAAGATATCAAAGACTTTTATCACAGAGAGTTTGAAGAAATTCTGAGACTATGCGTGCCACAGATCCTACATAAAATTTAAAGTCATTAAATTGTCGATTTTAAGATTTAATTCAAAACATCAATTCAAATCAAATACTTAAAGTGAATTATTGTTTTGAGGTTTTATTATGCAAAAATCAAGAAAAATTTTCTAAAAACGATGTGGAACACAGCAAAAAGAACATTAATAAGTTGTGGATCCAATTTGCAATTGGATTGTGGAGTTTATTTTCTTTTATCCCATTCTTTTTTGGTGACAGGCATATCAGTGCCTGCTTTATGCAATATCATATTTTAGGGGGTCAGATTGCATAATATGATATCAAAACTTTCGTATTCTTTCAAGTCTTTTCTAGTCTTGTCTAACCCCCTCATAATATGTTTTTGTTTTGCGTCATTAACTTCAATAAATGACATTTTTTTTCACTTTCGCTATTGTTGTTATTTGATTTTTAATCCATCAAAAAACTAGCTCAGTTGACTTGACTTCGGTCCTTCATTAATAACAGAGGAACATAAATAAGTTATTATTATTACAAAAATAATATCCTTTATGTGACAGAGTTAAAGGAATTGTAATTGTTTTATTTGTTATAATTTATTTCTGATGTGATATGTTTTTATTTGGTAATTGTAAAGTTCTTTGGTGTTTTAAAACTATTTAGATCGGGATCAATTGCCTATTTTTAATCTATGACACAATTGTCTTCATTTACAGCCAATCAGCGTGCTTTCTCTCAATCACGTGATCTTTGTGCTTATTTACCAAAGGAGAAGGCACGCTGATTTGCAAGGGAAAATTTTTGTCGAAAGAATCCTCCATCCATCCCCCTTTCTTCCACCGTCTTATATTATATTTGTTATACATGTACATGTATTAGTGTTCATACTTATTTGCTTGGCGTTTATTTTCTTTTATCCCACCCTTTTTTGATGACAGGCATATCAGTTCCTGCTTTATGCAATATTTAATTTTAGGTGGTCAGATTGCATAAAATGATACTAAAGACTTTTGTATTCTTTCGAGTTTTTTCTAGTCTTGTCTGACCCCCTCATAATATGTTTATATTTTTGTTTTGTGTCATTTACTTAATAAATGACATGGCGTTTATTTTCTTTTATCCCACCCTTTTTTGATGACAGGCATATCAGTTCCTGCTTTATGCAATATTTAATTTTAGGGGATCAGATTGCATAATATGATATCAAAGACTTTTGTATTCTTTCGAGTTTTTTCTAGTCTTGTCTGACCCCCTCATAATATGTTTATATTTTTGTATTGCGTCATTTACTTCAATAAATGACATTTTTTCACTTTCACTACTGTTGTTATTTGATTTTTAATCCAGCAAAAAACTAGCTCAGTTGACTTGGCTTCGGTCCTTCATTAATAACAGAGGAACATAAAGTACATTAATAAGTTGTCGAGAAGTATCTTAAAAAAAGATTTTTTTTATTAACCTTTTTTCAATCATACATAAAATTCCTATTAAAGTATACCCCTACTAGAGAGAAAAAATTCTACCATTTGATTAAAATTACAGAATGTGGGATCAATAATCCATTTATTTACTGCAAGGCTCGAATTTTCTTATAAATGGCAAATAAGATTTACGAAATTAAAAAGTAAAATAAATATTTCATATAGTTAAAAAAAAATGAATGAAGTAAATACATGTAATTGTTAAAATTATTAAAATAATGAATAAAAAAAGTTAAATTGCTAAAATTGCAAAGTGCTAAAAAATATTCCCGTAATATTTTTATATGTACATGTTAGACTTGCATTAGAAATTTTTATCATTACTATTTTTACCAATTATATATGTTTTTTTTGCAGCTATCCCAACATCAATTCCTGATTTATACGCCAACTACGGTTTGTCTCTGAGTAGTAGTAATTATTACATAAAACATGTTTATGAAGGAGATATAATGATATTCAGATGTTATTTGTCAACAATGGGGGATCCTCCGATTACATGGACATGGTATTGTGGAAAAGAGGTGATGAAAAACGTTACATTTTCAAGCAGCCGTTTGTATACATACATGAATTTCACTGCAACATGGAAGCACGACAGAAAACTTTGCTATTGCAGAGCAAAATCATCTTCTTCTATTTTATTCTACGACGAAACCTCTCGATATAGCTACCAGATGCGTGTTTATCGTAAGGATAGAATTATTTAGACATCATTATAGCTGAACACTACTCGTAAAAATGTATAGTCCGCCATATTTCCCGTTCATCGACGCTGTCTTCTATAACCCCTATATAAAAGTAGATATCTTAACAGTTAAATGTAATTCACTGTAGAGGTCCGACGAGTGTAGACGTACATCTCACACTGCCCTGCTACAAGGTCAAGATGAAATTATCAAATTATATGCAGTTTTTCCAAATCCGGAGAACATTATCATGAAAAATACAAGTCATTACAAAATTTACAAACAGAACATGCACATAAAAACAAGGAAAAACGCAAAAAGCCGAAGACCACGAAAGGAATGCTACATGTCGGCCAAGAGTTTCATGAACTTAGTGTGCAATATATACGAGGGCTGTTCAATAAATAATGTCATCAGTGCTCGGAAAGAAACAAAAAAAAAAAACGTTTTTCAATGATTCAATGAAAAGTGGTCACATAAAGTGTTATCAGTTCATTAAAGTTTCAATAATGAAAGCATATCAAGCTTAAATGTCATGTGATTTCTATGTTGTACATGTATGTCATCGACCTGATGACATTATTTTATTGAACAGCCCTCGTTTTTATATGCCCGTCTAACGGTGCCTATTTATGTTCTTATTCAAACAATTCGAACAGCCTCGGTTGACAATGGTTTTCGAGAGTGAAAATTTTCAATGTTACACTCAACTACATGCAATATTTATTATATTATACTGAATGTTTTATACAAATACATAGGCCTATAGCAGTGAACCGTGCGCGCATAAAGTCTGCACAGTCGCTATTTTTTGGAATATCACCCTTCGTCACGCATTATTGACTGTTGCTACACTGGAAGGCGTGGTTTCATTATTCAGCGGTAATAGTGTTTTTAACAAATGTTTCTCGACCAATCAGATTCAGCTAATTTACATAAAAGTATAATATCATAAAACATTTGTCAGCCTAATCGAAAATCATAACAACACTGATTATGGGTAAATGCTTCAAGACTTGCTCATTTATTAACATATAAATTACATAGAACACGCGAATATCTGCCTTGCTATTCTGAATTACGTAGTTCTACAGCATAAGATCAATAATTATACATATACAATTCTTATCAAAAATAAACATACCAATACCTGCTTAAATATAAATGATGTGTAAAAATAGGAGTCTGGGTGGGCGGGCGTAAAGCGTGTGAAAAACCCAAAATCTTGAGCTCGAATGACTATCCAAATCACAAAGCATGAAAGTCATGCTCTACATAACCTGTTTAAGAAGTATTACTACGCGTTACCTCTTACACTCTATAAACAGATGAATAGCAACCACGTGTCCGATATAAACATGTTATATTTATCAACCTGCAATAAATGTTTTCATGAGAAGTGTTCAGCTGTATGTTACCTTATTTTTTTCCTGTTTATAGCATTTTTTGATATTGTTGCACACCTCACTGTATTTAACCGGTATCATACACGTTTCAATAAACATCTCTGTTGAGATATACCTTTACTCAGATGGCTAAAAATTCCACTGATAAGAACGAAAATCCTCATATTGCACATTGTACACCTATAATTCTGGTGATAAATTTCAATTTCAAATTACTTGGTCATTGACCTACTTTTCATGCTAGTGGCTCCAGAGTATTTTGTGGGAAATACCTCAATTTTTCACACTATGACTAATTTTTTCTTCGCTTTCAAAATATTACAAGCAACAAAACTCTTTAAATAATGAAATATTATAGCAATAGAACAGCGTTGCTTCATATAAAGAACCGATTAGAGTTTTGACCATAAAGTTGATTACTATTCCAGTCCGAATTTCCTCTGTCATAATTATATTTTTTCCCTATTTCTAATCGAATACTAGTATTACAAAATCTGACTGATGAGAAGTCTAAATTATTTAAAGCCTCAGGTTAGTTTTGTTGCCCTAATTTTCATAGTATTATTATTACTATGTTGTCTGGAATGGTTTTTGTTTATATTTTTGAATTTCTTTATTTCATAGCATTCAATAATTTGAAATAATGTATTAGCTTAAACACACATATTATTTGCAAAATGATTTTTTATAATACATGTAATCTTTACATTGTGATTAATATTGCAAGAATAAAAGATTTTGACAAAAATGAAAAATTAAAAATTTAGTCTGAATTTCCTCTGCATTACCATATATTGATTTCTCTTCCCGTATGTTTTCTTCAAATAATAAAATATCAAATTTTTATCAATTGATAATGAGTGAAAATTTAGTTAATTTATCCATTTAGAGCAATTTTTGATTTAACATATTATACTTCATAATTTCTTTTTTGTTTTCTGAAACGTGAGTAAATGTCATCCTTAAACACTAAAATTTGATGATAAAATATTTTTGTAAGATTCACCTCAGTCACGTCCCGGGATTTATCCAAATTCTCCTACAACTGTACAGATCGGTGAGAACATAAGCATCAAGTGTAATCTTACAACTCTGGGATATCCTCAAATTATATGGAAATGGCTCTGTTACAACATGGCACCACAGAATGGAGTAGACGTAGGAACTGAGTCTTACTTAACATTCATGGCGTCTCCAGGGCATGACGGAATGGTTTGCAGATGTAGAGGAATATCTTCCTCCTCTTCTCACTATTCATATGACGAGGTGTCGGAACCTTTGAAGATCACCGTTTTATGTAAGTTTTTTTTTAGTTTGTTAAATAGTTTATTATCTAGCCTTTTAACACCATTAACACAAGGCTGGTAATTTTCTGTCTAAGTACTGTCTATATAAGGAGATTAGCACAACATACATTTTATGAAGCAGAGAAATGAATCTTGCCATGTTTATTTCGTCTCTACAGCATTTTTCAAACAAAACTGAATCCTTGTGTTTCAAAATACTAGTATTAAATTTTGTATTTTTTAGCCACAACCGAAGAAGAACCTCTATTCATAACAGCTGCAGCTTTTGGAACAGTAACCGGGTTACTGGTAGTTATTATAATAGCGTTAATCAGCATCCTAGTATTACAGTTTATCAGAGGCAAGAAAGAAAGTATCTGCTCCTATGAAAATTTTGGTAAGTTTTCAAAGAAAAAGAAATCAAAATTTAGTAAAAATTCATATTTCTCTAAATTGATAAAATAGAAATGGTTTGCTTCGTATCTTTTTTTAGATATATACTAATTTTTTAACTTCATTTACATGTATATTTAACAAAAAAAATATTGTACAGTGCTGTAAATGAAGAAATGTTTTGATGTTATATGATGATCATGAACCACTTTTCTGCAAAACAAAGTAAAAACTGAGGCATTGAAATTTATTCAACAATGAATTTCAGGAAAGACATTAGAGGGAAAACCAAGGTTTGTATACTTCAATCATCGTGTCTTCTTGTATTTAAAATTCTCAAACAACTATTCTAATACTGTTTTTATTATTTTGAAGACTTGATTATTGCATGATTCTTTTTTTATTTTAGTGAAAACAGCGGTCAACAAAATCCTACATATATCAAAGAAGAATCGTACGAAGTACTGCAAGTTAACAGAGAGAGGTACAATGTAATAGGTGGCAGAGGATAGGTTTTTTTTGCAATGAAAACGTTTGACTGACGGTTTACTTAATATTGAGCTGCTTTGAAAATGTGCAATGAAAAATTTCAAATTCCCTCTACATATAATAATAGTTTGATGTAGTCCCTTGAGGAATTTGAAGCTTTTAGGAATAAAACATGTACAACTTACACAAGGAGCCCTAAAGATGGCGCAGGGACAATCTCAAAATTTCATGTCAATCAAGCCTATTTTCACTATTTCTCCACAGCCGCAACTGCTTCCGGGCCCGTGCTTATGACCTAGGCTTCCACACAAATTGCAGAATAACATTTGTACATACCACTGAACAGCAAGAGATAATGGCGCAACCACCTCGTTTTCAAGCTACAATTCATCCTCTGAACCCACCCCTCTTTTCTTATGAAATACCGGAAGAGTGACTTTTCGTATTTCTAGTCCATATCCCATATACAGTAGCAGTGACACTAAAGTGTCATATTTCAATAAAATATACAAGACCACCAATTCCCTTCAAATGCACCCATAAAATATTTCAGCTATAAAATTACCTATAATATGAATTCAAACCTCAGGTTTCTCTATTTTTTCTATTTTTTGACCGGTACTTAATTCGAAACTATCCTCTGCCACCAATATTCTACACGACTTTGGGTTCATCTTCGCTAGCCAAGGGTTTCTTATACGCTACTCTCCTCTACTATGAGGAGAGTAGCTTATCAGAAACCCTTGGCTAGCGAAGATGCTTCGGGTTATTGAATTACACAACTAAATAAATACAGATATAATGATATTTATTAAGCTTTCTTGATCCGGATGAAATTATGATTTCTTAATTTGATATTATGAATTAAAGGCACAAGGATGACTTATTATAAAATCAAGATCCAAAAGAAGTTTTTTTTTAAAAATATTCTTTAACATAACAATTTTCATTTCAATATATAACGTAGAACTTGTTATATTCCTTGCGATGAATTAAAATTTGTAACGTATTGAAAATTGTTATTTTTTAATTATTGAAAGAAACTTTATACATTATTTTTCAGATTCTAGACAAATATCAGGTAAGAATTTTTACTTAACTGAAATTGGTTTGCTTTGGTTTTATAGTTCTCCAAAAATTGTTTTTCTCTTCAGACCCTTGGATTTCAGAAGATTATGGTACTTCAGTTGTGTGACATTTTCTTGACACTTCTTTTCATGAAGTTAATTTGACAGATGTTTGCATATTTTTACCCAGTGGATAATGTTGAAAATCAAGTATCGTGTACATATTACAAACATGAAAAAACATCACTCATTTATACTATTTGTTAAGAAACATCGCAAGAGTATGCTGATAAAGCAATTTTTGTAAATAATATTGATGGTGATATTTGTTGTTCTTAAAATATTTGCTGCTAATTCATATATAAAATTGATCTATTAATGATATATATCAAAACATATATGTTGTTAATAAACTATGCTATGAATTTCACAAAACTGTTTGAAAAAGTTTTCATTTAAATTAGTACTTAGTATAAAGTAAAGAAATCTCTACAACTTGACAAGAAATAAAAATAATTACATATCATTGGCGTTTAGGTGTATACATATTGAAAGCTAGTTGCGATGGATGACCAAAGTTTCCCCAAGAAAACATTGAAAGTAAAAAAAAATACTTAACAATGTAAATCATTCGGTAGTCCGTTGTGTGTTAACATTTGAACATTTGTGAGTTTTTCTCTGAAATGGCTAAGTAGGTTTCAACCAATTTTTGGCATATAGCATCTTTCAGTGAAAGGGGACAAAAATTGTGAGTTCGATGTCCAATGCCCCCTTGTACCTGTGAAGAGGGATTAAAACCCTAAAATTAAATAAAATCTTCTTTACTCCTGGATCTATAATGTGCCACCTCAAAACAGAAAAAAATAGTTACAAAAATAGTATTTTGACTATAATGATTTTAAAGTTGCTATTATTTATTTTCTCCAAACATAAAGAAAGATTTTTTCATTCACATAATGGGACTGAATACATGTGTATAATTAAGTAATACAAAGGCTTTAACTATCGAGAAAAAAAAAACTTGAGCAAAATTCCAAGTTAATCTCAGCATCAATATTTTTTTAATTGCCTCTGGAAAATTTTACTGTATTTACACGTGGTAATTTTTAAACATCATCAGGAAAGTTGATCATATTGGTTATTTATAAATCTCAGATAAATTTTCATGAACTGCGAATCAAAACAAACTTTAAGCATTTTCTAATTCAAAATTGATCATAAAACATGTTTTAGGATTTAAAAACAATTTTCAGTGCCCAGACATTTGAAGTAAATTGCGTGGTCTTTATACATTAATAGTACTTAAAGTTTCTTCTATTTACCACAATTTATGTAAAGTGTGTCCTGTTATAACAAAAGATTATAAATCAATTTTTAATTCATTTCATAATACATTGGCCAGATTAATGCATAAAAGATATCAATTTATGCTTTATTTTAAAACTTGAGGCAAAAATGAATTAAACAGTTATCCTACCTGGCTGAGAAGCAGAAAAACTTAAAGAACGTGATAAGAAGACTGCAGAGTAGTTTTTATCGCGTTTGAATCACTACGTCTAACTCTGAAGTAGATATTAAAATATCATTGAATATCATTTCTTGCTTGAATGTCCTGTTTATGAACCTTTAAGAAAAAAGTATATCAAACCATATTTCTAGTATTTTCAGATCTCCAAATATGTACAAGCTTACTCAGTTACTTAGCTCTCGTGATTTCATGGTTTTGATTGGTTTAGGAAAATTTATTCTCCATGCAATGTAATTAAGAAATAGGGAAAAATTTAATTTATATGTATACATGTATTATATACTAATTACAAAAGTTATTTTTCATGTAATAATGGAGAAATTGAAATATATTGTGTATTTGTTGGTGGTCAGACAGATGGACACGAGCCCCCCCCCCCCCCCCCCCCCGATAGACTCTCGCCACCCGTTCTTTATATCTGTTTTTGATTACATACTAAGGAGCCATATGGCTTAAAGTTATTCAAAAAAGAATTATACTAAAATGATGCTCGAGTTTGTTTTTTATTGACAATTACTTTATTTTCGGAGATCAGGGGCCTATTTTACAAAAGGACTTACGACTAAGACCTAAATCTTAAATTGTTTATGAATTTTTTCAAATATAGTGATTGTGTTTAATATTGCCAACATTAAAATATCTTACTGCATTTCTTTCAAAAAGATTAAAAACATTTGAACTTTTTGAATATAATGTGAATTAGAAACTTACAAACAGTATTAAATTTTTGTCTTAGTCGTAAGTTCTTGTGTAAAACAAACACCAGAGCGCTCGCCAAAATTTCTTTTACCTCCAATAGTTTTGGCAAGCGCTTGCGAACGTTCGCTCTGCTGAACAGGCCTACGGTCTCTAGAAATGCTGAAGGTGTTCGTCTGTTACGCTTTGGAGTACCTACCTATTATACCAGTGAATGAATGAATGAATGGGTGTACTTTACCCTTAAAATATCATTCTATGAGAAATATTGTTTATTTTTTTAAAGAAAACATTGTGTAATGTGTTATTTGTCCTCAATAACTGTTGCAATTGTTTTCAAAAGGGGGCCACAGTACTAGTATTTGAAATGAAGTACTGATATTTTTCATTGACAAACAAGAACTTTTATTTTCAATTTTATTTCTGTCATACATTTACCATAACAGAAATTACTCTCATTTTCGAGGACGAATCATCATCCTAGCTGACTTTAGGGCTGTTTGTTCTTTCAAAGGTCTTCACACTATGGCGTCAAATGTTTAGGCAGCAGATTTCAGGAACGGTCCGTTGAGATCCGAAGTATAACATCCTGTGTACCACCAATCCCCTTGATGACGTGTTGCACATCCATGTCTGTCTTGTCTATCCTTTGTTGCAAACGCAATTCCATTGTGTCCATTGAAACCATCCCCTTAAATTTAAATTTGTCATTTTTGTCAATTACTGTAAGAATAGTGTATATTGAGAAACACGTCACCAACATAATTGTTCATAAGGAAAATAATTCTTTAGAAACAAAGCATAACCAAAATGATTTTAAACTTCCATATTTATATTGGATTCCGAAACTTCATAAGAATCCTTTCAAACAAAGATACATTGCGGGTTCCAGTAAATGTTAAACCAAGCCTCTTTCTTTAATCCTCACCAGCATATTAAGGAGAAACTTCAAGAGTATTGTGCAACAATATTTTCAAGAGGCGGTGTGAATCAGATGTGGATACTCAAAAATTCCAAAGAACTTTTGGACAATTTCAAATCAAAAGAATTTATCGAAATGTTTGCTCTGCTCCTGTTTTGTATTGTTTTTAATAGACTTTTGTCTTGAATACTGTTCGTTATCTCCATATGTTTCGTTTATAAAGATCATATTAAAACTTTTTGAAACGTGGTGATTAATTTTTACCTGCGTTACCCTTGTATCCACTGACAGTTAACTTGTACTTATTATGCTCATCAGTGATTGCAAATTTGGAATATCTAGCATATGCCTTGGCGCCTGAAAACTATTCCACATCAACCCACAATTCCTGTGTTGTGCGTGACGTCAAAATATGTATTGCATCATGTCCTATGCGGTAATAAAGGAGTTTATTCTAAGTCTTTTCTATAATGAATATTAACACATATCAATAATGAAAAGAACACATTGAATGACGTAACTTTTTTCTCTAAATTAAGAACTTTTTTTTTTCTTAAGGTTTTATTTCGTGTCAATGCGAACCTGAAACAGGCTTAAGTCTCTATCTTAACATTTTTTACTAGGTTCTTTTAATCGTCCCCATGCAGCTTTCACTGAAAGTGTGGGAAATTAATTTGGGTCTGTCCGTTCTGTCTGTCTGTAACGCTTTCGTTTGCGCACGATATCTCAAGAACCCATTGAGCTTTCGCAATGAAATTTTGCATAGCAATTCCCTATGCCCTAAAGTAGAACCCTATTGATTTTAAGGTCAAAGACCAATGTCATAAATCAATAAATTCTGTCTGTTATAACACTTTCGTTTCATTCCCTCGTAAAGCGCATATTCTATAAATCAAGACAGCATGTGACATATGCAAATTACGACACTTCTGTTTCGCATTAGAAATAACCCAAAAACAAATACACACACAAATACCCTCACAAACACACCCACATTCTCAGCACAAAACCCATTGCGTTAATATATTCCCTCCAAACCCGTTTCGAATAAATAGCAAAGTTCCGCTCCATAATTGTTATGACATTATATATATTTTTATTGTTTCTTTGGGAATTAACTATGATTGGCAAAAATGTTATAAGTACAATCTACAAATGCCTAGAATGATATGAAAATACGATTGAATATTTGAATCTTCTTTAAACTTACCTAACCAGTAATCTGTCTTTGCACTTCCGAATCCTTTCTTGTATTCCGCCGAAGTTCGATAAAAATCAGTGATGCCATATTTTCGTCGTTGAATCAACTGAATTATACAAGTATTAATTTATATTATTTCATAAAAATGACTGAGCATTTTTTTTTTACATGTTTATTAATTTATGTTATATCATATATTTATAAGTTAATAGTTTACAAATAAATAGCAATGTGTTTAACCCCACTCTTTCCCACAGAAGAAAATGTATTTAACAGTCCAGCCACCTCCATCTTTTGTCATATCACAATATACATCCTTCGTTGTGCTGCTGTTAGGCTATATAGTGCATGCTGCGTCTTTTCCTTTGAATTCTGGATTTTCTTTAAAATAGTAGCACAGTCATAGTTTTCAAAAACCTACTTAAAAAACATTAAAATATATACGCGCCAAAAATCCTCGATTTGCAATGTATGTATTTCATCAGTATCTACATAAATACATTAAAAAGGGTGTTCATTATATTTTTGAAATCCATAATGTTTGTGTTAAAATCTTCAAAACCGTGCCGTATATGAAATGGAATAAATAAATAATACTGTCTTACTGGCATTAACGATTCCTTCCACACCAGCTGCGTCTGCGCTGACTTTGTCACTCGACAAGACGTTTTTTCGTGGTTCCACTTCCAAGGGAGTTTGTTCAAAGATTCTTTCATGTGATCTAGTAACACAAAGTCTAAGACATCTAAGACATCTATATTCAGTCAATTTTAAGTATGCCAATACTTCATCATCATACTGTGGAAACGAGCAAAGAGAATCATTAATTCTGCAACCTTTTACGATTATCTTGAAATAAATAATTCCATCTGACGCCGACTTTATATTGGTTTTACATGTAATTCACTTTAGCATAATCATACTTTGAGATAAAGTTTCCTATGAATAAAAAATCTGAATATGTTATCTTACTTTAATATAATTGTATATCCTCTAATTGCTCTTTTTAAAAGTAAACAACATTTTTAAAAATATTCTATTTATTTGCCTGCTTTTAAAATCTACAACAAGATGCCAAACCAAGACTAACCTTTTACAGCAAAATGTTCCGGTCGGCCTTCAGTATTTGATAACAGCAAACATGACAAATACGCAAAGAGATGAATAACTTCCATTATCTTTATCGAAAGACATAGAGGGAGAATTCTGATACAATTATAATTTGCCTTATTTATATATTTTTTTTCAAAAATGTAAATCCATTAATATATCCAAATGAAACTAAATATTTATCCACGAGTTTAAGCTTTAAACAATATCAAATTTTTCTTTCATGACAGCAACATATGACACTCGATCATAGATCAGACACAACATTTGTATATGTTGTCTTTTCTACAGAAAATCAAAAGATATAAATCAATACAAGTATAACACTCTTTTGTAAACAAAGAAACAAGAAAGCACGAACGTGCAAAAAGCTCACTTGCCGATGTAAAGGTCGATCTCTTTAACTTTCTTTTTTAAACAAGATATATGTACTCGTACTTGTAAATTTGAATATTGGTAATTCATTGCTGAAATTTTAAGTAAGTACTCAGTATGTAAGAATATATCATAATCTAATTGCCATTCCACTTGATAATTTAAAAATTCTCTGGATAATTTTTCTGTTTCTATGTTATTTTTTCCCTGGAATATGATAACACTTCAACCAAATGTTCTGTCAGTGCACCATTCCCATATATCCACTGCAAGTTTATTGCAAATTTCAGATTTTATGTCACCCATATTATTAATATAACTAATGGCAGTAGTATTATCTGCTAATATTCTTACATATTTGTTTTTCACAATATTCACAAAAGATCTCAAAGCAAAGTGGATTGCAAGCATTTCTAAGTAATTTATGTGATTTGACTTTTCTTCTTCTTACCATCTTCCACCCGTTTTGATATAATTTTGTGTGCATATTGCTCCCCAACCTGACAGAGATGCATCAGTTTGAATGGTAATTTCTAGCTGGGTTTTGGCCAGAGATTTTGTATTGGAATATATTGCAATATTTTCAACTAAAATTAAAATGGCATTTTTAATTTTTTTTATATTGATTTCAATTTACACGAAGAATGTGCAAAACTATGAAAAGAAACCAAAACGGGGGAAAATCTTAATTTAGATACAGTTATGCAGCTTAATACACTCATACAAGAGCTTCTATCTTTCCGATGGTGTAATCACAAATCTTTCTGACAACTTTTACTCATAAGATAGAAATCCTGAGTCCAAGCATTTTGCGAGTATATCGCAATTACAAGAACGTATTGCAATACGATATTTTTGTCCCTATATTGCAATATACCGATTGTTTTTTTCCTTTCCCTTATCATGACGAGGAGCCCGCGTCTGTTATGACAGTCGACGGAGGATACTTAAAACTTCAGGTTATCTGATCCAAATTGTAATTTTTAAAAGGTGTGTGTTTGCTCCGTTAACGATTTGTATTGTACTCACGGACTTGTGAGCATGATCATTGTTCGTTATTTTCACATTTCGTGCATTGCTTTACAAATTTATCGCTAAAAGTTTTTTCGAGAAACTTACTATGTCTCCTAAGTTCGATATATTTATGTTTTTTAACAAAAGTATTTCAAACCGTTAATATTTTTTATCTGAACTGATACACGCATCTTTCATCTTTTTATTTTCATGATTAACAAATGCATTTGATCAAGAAAAAAAAAAGAAAAAGAAAAAAAAAGAAACTCCAATATGCCAACGAAGGAATTGACGTGGTTTATATTAGTAATATTCTTAATTACAAAAGGGTCCAGTCTTGAATTTCACAATATATACACGTATTTCCTACAAATAAACATTGATTGTTGCTTTCAAATTTTTTAATTACTAGAAAACTTTACGAGGTCATTATAAAGATATTGTTTGTTTACCCTCTCCCGTATCAGAGTGAAATTATTGGATCTGTAGGAGGGTGAGAATATCTTTTTTCCTGAAAATTTCAACATATTTGTTGACGGGATAAGAGGAATAAAAAAAAAATATCGTGTCCTGGAATATAAAAAAAATCATGAGTCGGACCATTTTTCAGTCAGTCGGTCGGAGGAGGGCAACCAAACAATTTTTTACGAATGGCTCAGAGTATAGATATCGAATATCTGATACACAATCCCTCCCCCCTGTTTATGTTCTTCACCTACAACTATTGTCCTGCTAGACAACTTATTACTATAGACATTGATATAGTAAATAATGAAAACCTTATATCATTAATTTTAAAAGGGCAAAATTTTCTTTAATTATAAGACGCATAATTAAAATTAATTTAGAGGAACTTTTTCTTTTATCTTGAGTAAAAAAACAGAAAAATTTCATAAATATAATGAATTGAATGAATTCGTTTGAAGATTACACCAGAGGCATAAGATTTGAGGCTATACAATATACATGTGTTAATTACATAACAATATCATTTAATTATTAGAGAACATTTCTTTGAGAAAAGTACACGTTGATAATATAATGCATCAAATGTATACATAAAATCTTTTCTCTCTATATTAGCAATTGAAAATCATGAGCTGAACGCCAAATAAAAACAAACTATCCTTCTGTGTTCAGTTTTTCAGAAGTGAAGTAAGAATTAGATAGATCATACGGTCAGTATTTACTGATCCCTACTGACAAAACAGGTAACATTGTCTTTGTTTGTAAGGCGCATAATTTAAATTGTTTTTTAGAGGAACTTTGATTTAATTCCACTGGTGGCAATCCAACTCTTATCTCTTTCTAAGGAGCAAATTATTCAAAAAACAGAAAGAATTTAAGTTACCACATCTAAATTGGATTCCAAACCTTCATAAAAATCCTTACAAACCAAGATATGCAGTGGGTTCCAGTAAATGTTCTACCAAGCCATTTTCTTGGCTTCTCACTAATTTATTTACAGTAACGAAGGCAAAACTTCAGGAGTACTGTGCAACAATATATTCGAAAAGTGGTGTTAATCAAATGTGAATACTTAAAAGATTCCACGGAACTTTTGGAAAATTTGAAATCACAAATTTTTACCAAAATCAATAGCATAAAAACTTAAGAATTTTTAACTAAATATTATATACAACCATTCCCCACGAAAAATTAAAGTCCAAACTTTTTGTTATCATTGACAGCTGTTTTTTTTTTTCAATTTACTTATCTTGTCATTGGTCATTTCCAAAATTATGTTGTTAAAAACATTCTGATTGTACACACAGATACTCTGAGGTTGATAATAAAAATATGTTTTAGTTTCTGATTGACAATATATATATTTTGTTTTTGAAGACCACTTCTCCCAACAATCTATTAGAATTACCATGGGTACCAATTGCATCCCGTTATAAGCAGTTATATTTTTGCACTTATATGAAACAGAATTTGTGATACACGAAAAAACACTTGCCGTGGTCGTCAACTCGAAATTTAGATATATCGACGACGTATTGTCAATTCATGATAGTTATTTCCATTCTTATATCGATACGATATATCCCAGTGAGCTTGAAATAAAATATACCAAAGAGTCTGACTGTCGATTTTCTAACTACAAAGCGTTATGTTAATCGTGATGACTTTGTCTTTTCAATCATAAACTTCCCCTACTTATGCAGCAGAATACCTTCATCACCTGAATACGGAGTTGATATATCTCAGTTGGTTCAATAGGCAAGAGCATGATCTATGTATGAACAATTTCTAAAATGAGGTAAATTATTGACATACAAATTGTTTAAAGAATAATACAAGCAATCTCGTATATATTCATAACTTTGTAAGTTTTATTGTCGATCTAATGGCCTTGTCAGCAAATACAAAGTTTTTTCATAGTAATTCTATATAAGACCATTATATATACACACTGAATTGAGGACGTATTTTCCCGTTATTTCCGGATCATGACAAGGAGCACCCGTCGGATGTGACCGGTCAGCACGGTATGCTTGTTCCTCCATAGCACCTGATCCCACCTCTGAATTTTTGTCCTGTTCCAATTTTGTATTGCTTAATAGACTTTTGAGCCTTAATACTATTCGTTATCTACATATATTTCATGCTAACATCATTTCACAGATTTCAAGCAATACATGACCACCTAAGGCAAATGCACAACTAACTTCACCTGTGGATTATATGACAAGGCGGTAAAAAGAACTTGTTAAACATTACACAGGATCAACCAGATATCACCTCAAGAAATGGAAAATAGTATTCCCCAAAATTATATTTTTTTTAGTTTTTGCGAAAAATATTTCTCTTACTAAATATATCTTTAAAAATTTAAAACCAATAAGACCATTATATTAAGTACATAAAAAATAAAAATGCATATTATGTTGTATCTTCAAGTTAAAATTGCGTCACGATAAATACCATGCAAAAACCATATAGATATGGGATAACGATTGCACAATTATAATACTTATTGTATGATTGAATAATTCCTATCATTCTGATTGGATGAGATCCAACTATGTAGAAAAAAATACTACGTTATATCTATCTGCACGTGACGTTCCAGGTGAAGATAAGGACATTGATAAAAAAAATAGGTCGGGAAATTCCAAATTGTTACAAATAGGTTTGGAACGCTATTACAACTGCTATCGAATTTACTCATGTAAACATAACATTAGGCGAATATATAATTTTGGGATTGGGGTTGTAAGTGCGGGTGCCGTGGCCCTCCCTCTGATAATTTTTCTAAACAAACATTTTTGCCTTTTCTAAACTGTCAGTTCTCCCTGATAATCATTCATCCTTACATAATCTTTTATATAAAAGAGCCTGACGTTATTTTTCTTTCATAGTAATTAAAATATATTTAAAACATTTCAAATCAATACGACGGGTTTATTAGCAGAGTAACTCTGCTTCTCTCTTTATAGTTGGTTAGGACTTCAATAAATGCCAGCAAGTAATGAGTTGTATCATTGAACCATACAATGAAACAATTTTTGCTCTTTTTTCAGTCAGTACGATGATTTAGCCACCTTCGAAGTACAATATTCACCGAGCCCGAAGTGAATATTGTACTCCTCAGGTGGCTAAATCATCGTTTTGACTGAAAAAGAAGCAATAATTGTATAATATCAAATCATTTAATGTAGAATGAAACTGTTTTATGATATGTATTTCATATACATGTAGTTTATCTGGCACTGACACAAAATATATGTATTATCCATAAACTGAACTTGCTGAACCTGAAAAGGAAACAAAATAATAGTTAAATGATGTTATCATGCTAAATTAAAAAAATGTAATAGTTAAAATCAAGAATTAAGTCAACTTTATACGACAGATCAAACTTACCTTGTGTACTATTGTGTGCTAAAAAATAAAGAAAAAAAAAATCACAGTGCATTTGAAGTTAGTTTACTTACTGTCAATAATGCCAATTGTAAAGCAAAGAAACACAGTGTTTTAAAGAGAGTTGTCTCATAAGGTTTATAGAAAATGTTTTTTCAAGAATTTTCACTCATGTAGAGATGTCACCATACACCGGTGAAGAGCTTCAAATTTTGACCTTTGCTTGCAATTGGCACTCAGGGCCATTGAGAGTGAGGAGTCTTTATCATGCCAACGCCTGCCATAAAACGGGGCCTCGGTTTTAAAGGTCTCATCCGAAGGACTCGCGTCTTTTGACTTCAAGTGCCTAGCGCATTGCGAAGGAACAGTTGCTTCCCATTTTTTATCGACTTCGGTCAGTCGCAGCCGAGATTCACTCACGATCAACTACAAAGCGCGCTTTATCAATAAAATCCAGAGACTTTTTTCCAAGGTTTTGGAATTTTACCAGTAAATCTGGACTATGTGCACAATGTGGACTTTAAAAAGCCGCGATTCTTTCAAAAAGATTAGTTCTAACAATCCAAATAAAATTATTCTGAGTCGGATTTTCATAAATAATTTGCTTTACATTAATAATTTTAGGAAGATTCAGTTTGACAAAAACGAACTTTATGGACAACCCTCGCGCACAGAGGGTTCGGTTTAGGAAATTTTTAATTATTTACAATAATCATAGTTATTTTATTAGTTTATTGTATTTGGGAGAGTGGTTGCAAAAGTGATGTAATTTTTAGTAAAGAGAGACATTAACAGAACTTAATGACACGCGCAACGGAGTTTGAACATTTTTCTTTTTTTCCATGGAGTTGAAGAGTTCCAATTCTTGAAGGAACTGTGTGCAGTTTCTTATGTCTTTATACATTTATGGTGCTGTACACTTCTTTTAAAACAATTTTGGATAAAACAAACCTATAGAATATATGTCTAATATTCTTTATATGTTTTTCTTTGAACCATCCAGAAATTTTTATTTTCCCATTAAAAAGTTCTTGATCTTTATTTTGACCATATTAAAAAAGTCCAAGATATAAAGAGCCTGATGAATATGATCATGGTATCTAAGAAAGACTTGTATTGGTTTTGAAGTGAGATTTGTGTTAATCGTAGTACTCACGAGAACAAAATCCGCAATATGCCGGACAATGAAGTCTCATATAGCCTTGGTAATTAGGATCCGTACAATAGGCTTTGGCAGCTAAACTGCAATTACTCGCCATGTCCACACAGTTTGGAAGATGAAGATCTTTAAAAATGGTTGGTACCGTTAAAGAGTTTTCAAAAAGAAAGAGAATGCATCAGTGTAGTAATTGCTTTTTGATGTTTTGTGATATTAAAAATATATGTATCATTGTAACACAATGTTTTACTTTACCTATATTTATATTTTATTGCTACCTTGTATAAAGTCAAGAGTGCCCTCATAGAGTAAAATGTTTCATCTTCATTCAAACTGCTTAATTTTAAATAAATATCAAAAAAGTATTTATACCCCATTTTTACATGCATGAAGTAAGTGAACTTGTTTATACTTACCGGGACAGACTCCGCAGTAATCTAAACAGTAGTACCGAGTAAAGGAATTCCAGACAGGTCCCTCGCATCCAAGCTTTGCACAGTTCGGCAATTTGTCAACACACTCGCCATCTTTGAAATAAACATTCAGTAACATTAAAATAGATTGATTGATCATATCTTTAATTCAGTAATAATTAAAATGAAAGGACTTTAATTTTCTTATGTTTTGTTAACATGAACCCATAAAAGGTATAAATAATCACAAGTATACTCCTCTTTATAATTTAGGTTTTGGGGGAGGGAACTTTTACATATTGACATATTCCAATATCTATAACCCTTTTGACACGTTTAGCATTTTTTCAAAAGAATATGAAACAAATGAACCTGAATAAATATGTGTTAATAACCAATCAGTGAATAGGGAAAATTTCTTCTAACCAAGCTAAAGGTATCTAAAACCTCAAGAGAATTCATTCATTGTGTCCTAGAATAATTTTTAAAGAACTCAGCAGTAAGTAGTTTCTTTTCAAATTTATTTGAATTTTAAAAAAAATAAAAAAAAAAATACTTGCCTACAGTGAAGGCATATGAAGTCAATAATACTAGAAATGCATACATGATTTCTAGATAACAAAAGTTTCAATCACTATTCATTCCGTTTAACGTGTAATCGTTGATCTTTTTTTTTTTTTTTTAGGTCAAAATGCATTGCCCTATAAAGGCACGGCAGGTAAATATGAAGTCTTCTCTAGAACAATTTTGTACGTTATCTGTAATTTAACCTACAGGTATACTCACAGACACTAACCATACCTGCATCATTAAAATACATTAAACTTAAAAGAAGGAACACCAACCAAAAAAATTACACATGTACTTTCAGAAACAATATACTTTTATACTAAAACATTTTCATATATAATTATTCACTAAAATGTGTATTGCTTTGTATTTTTCTTTTTTAACAATTAAAATTAAGCTTATTGATGCATTTCGTTCTTTATTCATGTTTAGAATTTGGATATGTAGCATAAAACTTTATACATATAAACGACGAAAGTAACAATGATCATTTTCATAACTTCGTGAAGAATTAAATATAAAAAAACAGGATAAAAACACGAAGTTATGAAGAGATGGGATCTGGTGTTTAGGGGGAGAGAACATCCCTTGTCGACTGGACATACCCACCACCCCGAGTCCCATATATTAATTGTTGAGGTAAAATTAATCCATATTCAAAATGGTGTAATACAATAATCTAAGCATGCGTTGGAATACATGTTTTGCAAAAACATAACCTTCTGCAAAGAGGGTCATTATAACGGCCATAGAATTTACAATGCGCCTTCCTAATACATCACCGTTCACACGGTAGCTCAGTCGGTAGAGCGCTCGCTTCGTGCTAGGAAGGTAGTGAGTTCGTATCTCGGCCGTGACTGACCTAGTCGATAAAATGGGTAGAAACTGTTCCTTAGCCATGCGCTCGGCACTTTAAAGTGAAAAGTTGCGTGTCCTTCGGATGAGACCTTAAAAACCAAGGCCCCGTGTCAGCGGAAGGCGTTGGCACGATAAAGATCCCTCGCTGCTTAATGGCCCTGAGTGCCGAGTAAAAGTCAAAATTTGAAGCCCTTCACCGGCATACGGTGACGTCTCCATATGAGTGAAAAATTCCAGAGAGGGACGTTAAACAATAAAAAATCATTCAATCAATCCTTATACATCATCACTTTCTTTGCCAGAAACCTGCCTTTGCTTTAAAATTTTCCACACTTAAAATATAAAAAAAATTTCGGAATTGTAAAATGGAGAGTTCACTGAACAAATACCCCATTTGAACAAACATTGTGTAAATGAAGTATCCTCAAAGGGAAATATAACTTTTCTTCCACTTAAAAATGCGCTTTCTAATAAATGAAGAAATACGAAAGCCCGTTGAGCTCATTTTCGTAGATTAAGAAAATATATATATTTTTTTGCGTTATAACGCGTAAAACTCGCGATATAAGGCTTAACTTTCGCGTTATAACGCGAAACTTTCGTGAATAAACGCGTGAGTTTCGCGATATAAAGCGAAACTGTCGCGGTTTTACACGAAACTTTCGCGTTTTTCTTAATCTACGAAAATGAGCTCAACGGGCTTACGCGAAACATTTGCTGTTCAACCAGGACAAACCCGTCAGATATATAAATATCGGAGAAAAATTAAGAAAAAGTGGACCCCTCCTCCTCGATCAATTTCTAATTAACAATATCCATTAATATTTATTACTTAAAATATCATATGACACGTTAAGCTCTTGAAATGACACATTTTTCACTCACTTTTAAGCTATGTTTCTACAAGGTATAATTTTAAATTAAAAATGATGGATTGCTTAATTTATTAGTGGTACAATTATGTTGAATGTTACTGATAAAAAATGCTTGAGAAAGTGTCAAGTGGAGACTTTCATTCAGTAAAATAATAAGTCTAAAGAATTTCTTGAATTTAACAACTGAAAAACATGAACAAGAAAGTAAAATTCATTTAAAAAACTGGTAGGGTTTTGAAATAAAAAAAAAAAGATGAATAATCTATCCTATTCTCGAACATTTTTCCAGGATATCTTCTAAGGAAATGATAATTTATTAATAAATTCATGAAAGATCATGTCAGCGTTCATGTTTTTTGTATGTCAGTGAAGATCAAGGTTCCTGAAAAACATTATTATATACATAGAATTTTGCAAAATCACGCAAAACTTTCGCGTTTATTTGCGAAAGTTTCGCGTTTATTCGCGAAAAATAAGCCCAATGGGCTTTCGTAAAGAAAGATTGTTTCTAATGAGTCCTAGAATGAGTCCTAGAAATTTATTGATTGGGTCAAACTCGAAATGACTTATGGCAAATATGTTCTCAATCTAGGACACATGAAAGAATCTGAAAAAAAACTACCTTGGAAATGGACCTATAAAAAAAACGTCGTATAAAGTAAAATCTCCTCTTACTATTGGAGTGGACATTGTATCCAGCTACAAAGTCAGCGCAAATGCAGTTGGTGTTTAAGAAATCTTTAACCCAAGTAAGTATTTTTAAAAAATTACTACTCGAGTTTTCTTTCGTTTCTTGAAAAAATAAATTCGGAAGATAGATGTGAATGAAATACAAAGAATTTTCAAGAAAGTCTATTTAAAAAAAATAAAATCGGCTTTTATATATAAGAAATTCATTGATGATATTTCACAAGCAAACATACAAAAGAAGGAATAAAAAGTAAATAAATTAATAAGGAGAAAGATTAATCAATAAGGAGAATTCGGGAATTTGATTGATTGATTGTATTTTGTTTAACGTCCCTCTCGAGAATTTTTCGCTCATATTGAGACGTCACCTGTACTCACCTGTACTCGGCACTCAGGGCCATTGAGCAGTGAGGGATCTTTATCTTGTCAACGCCTGCCGCTGACACGGGGCCCCGGTTTTTAAGGTATCATCCGAAGGACCCGCAACTTTCACTTCAAAGTGCCGAGCGCATGGCTAAGGAACAGTTTCTACCCATTTTATCGACTAGGTCAGTCACGGACGAGATACGAACTCGCGACCTCCCGATCACGGAGCGACCGACTAAGCTACCTTGTTGGGTAATTTGAAAGCCTTTTTAATGGTTTCTTTCAGTACTAGACGTTACCTGTAATATTTACGTGTCAGTTATTTTTGGGCTAGAATGATTGATATATACATGTATGTACTTTGGAGTACATAAACATTCACATGAACAGCGAAGCCGTTCAAGCATAAATCACTATACATACATACTTTTTACAGGGTTATTTTCGCCCCATCTTATTTTCGCCCTTTCACATTTGCAAACAATTTTGCCCCGTTTTAAATTCGCCCAATTATAGTTTTGTTTAAGAAATTATTCTGTATTCTTTGAATTCGCCCCGTTTTAAATTCGCCTAAATGAGAGTAGGGGGAAATGGGTGAAAATAAAACGGGGGCGAAAATTTCCCTGTATACAGTAACACCATGGAATCTTAAATTCTTAATTCTTTCCCCTATTTTGAAATCATAATTATGTTTCTTTCGCTAGCTTGGACTAAAATGGGTTACTTTAAGAGCAAACATAATAACATGAAAGAGCAGCATCTTTGAGCTTACATTACTTTCAGATAAAACAAGTTAATACATTTTTGAAGATTGATAAAAGTATTTCTTTTTTTTTTAATTTTGGGAAGGATTCTTCTCTGGTTTCTGACTAAATGAAATTTTCAAAGTACATTTGCTTATATGTCTTATATATTTAGGTGCAAGAAATTTAAAAGACCATACGTGTATTTTTCTTTCCTCATCACATTTGTACAACTTTAAATGGAAATGGTAAATCGTTTTTGAAAACTACCAGGGACTATATTTTGGCAGAATGGTGGCGTATGAAAAAATTATCTTTTCTGCATCTCAAAATTATTATAGAACACAGGAAATTTAGTTATAATTTTTACACAATCAAATACTTAAATTACTTTTCAAATGTAAATTAGATTTATAATACGGGACTTATGTTCTAAATATATCAAATAAATATGATTTTTCAAACAAACTAAAACTATGATAGCTTTTATAAACTTCCAATCTGAGTACAGATTTGAGCCAAAAATCCGTAAAAAGTATTTTTTTCTCTCTTAGTATTCGATCAAAACTTTTTATTTTTGTATCATTTTGTATCTTTATATGGCAACTTTACCAAATATGAAAGTAAGAAAAATTTAAATATAGAAAGCATATAAAAATAACATATATCCTAAAAAAAAAAAGTAGAGAAAATTCGTATTAGCCAATATCCATTTTAGTTGGCCTTACCTTGTCTCTAATATAAAAAGGTCAAATTTACTTTCACTGATATCATCACTCAGTGATGTTGTCTTCTTGATTCTGTGAAAATTTAATTAATTCTTAAATACAAGAAATATGAGGAGAATCTTTCCATACAATTGGTTCAAATTATTTTAAAATTCCTTCTTTCAAATTAAAAAGAAATAGACAAGCAGTGAATACAAGCTGAACTTAACATGAAAATGTAAAGATTTTTATTTTTTATAAAGGCGCTCGTTTTAAACTTTGTATATTTAATACTTTATCTTTTTTTACATAATTATTTTATAAAGGTAACTTCAAACGCCAGCACCGTGATTGTGTTAGCATTCTTAAGATCGACCCTGAAGTTAAAGGACGAGACGGAGCATATACTATTTATCCTGACGGTAACGCAAAGAAGAGAGTTTTCTGTGATATGACTACCGAGGGTGGTGGATGGACGGTATCTAAAGAAATTTAATCGAAATTAATTTTTCATTTAATAAAAAAATCATATTTTCAAATGAAATATACCTAAACATGTAGAGATAACGAAAGTATTCAAGCTAAAATGTCCATTAAACAATACAAAATAGGAGCGGATCAACCACAAGCCTCCAAAACATCCGCCGTGTGCTCCTTGTAATAATCGGAAAATAACGGAAAAATCCCTCGTCAATAAGTATGAAAAATGTCAGTCAACATTTAAGTCAAGGATAAATTGTATTTTCTGACAAGGTCATTTATGAAATTATGAGTTTTAAGCGTTCTTGTTTCATCAAATTGAAATCAAATTTACATCGTTTTAGATATTGTACATATGTAGAGCATGATTTTGTGTATCGAATTAACTGATAGTTATAAACTCCGTATGTAGGTGATGAAGGTATATTGCTGTATAAGTAAGCTGACGATTGAAAAGTTAGAGTCATCATGTTTATCATAGAGCTTGGTTATTAGGTTACCATTAACGACTTTTTTCAAGTAAAATATAAAAAATATGAAACAAATGTGTCAAACTGTGGTATCTTTAATCTAACGCTCACCGGGATATATCGTATCGACATTAGAATGGAAATAACCATGCGTTGTCAAAATATCGATATGCCGAGTTAAAGGCAACAGCAAGTATTTCGTTCTATTCACGTATACGATTTTGGACAAATTCTGCTTCATATGAATACAAAAATAGGTCTGCCAATAATGGGACAAAGATAAGAATGATATAAGCTAAAAAAAAACTGTTTCTCACTTTAATGTGCAGCATATCATTCATTCTCTATTTTGTATTATTTTATGGACTTTTGATCTTGAATACTATTCGTTTTCTCCGTATGTTTCATTCGTCTTGTGTTGAAATAATTAAAAAAAAAACAGCATTTAAAATCTAGCAGTTTATTGAGTCAAGAGTATTGCATCATGTATGAGACTTTCAGGATACACTAATGCTTCTACAAAAGGCATTAACTAGACTTTTAAAAAAGACAAATAAATAGCAGGATCACTATCTTCATTGTTTCTACTGACTATTATAGATATTATATTATTATTTACTTCAGTGTCATATCATTAAATTAAATTGAACATACAATGTTTGCAATCCAAAGGTTATTCAGCGACGAATACAAGCGGGAACTACAAATTTTTACAGAACATGGAAAGACTATAAGGCAGGTTTCGGTCAAGCAGGATCGGATTATTGGTTAGGTAAGTTAAAGAGTAAAACACATTGTCAGTATTCAGCTATCACAAATATTTATGAAAATTAACAACCAAGAGGTTCGGGATACTGGTTGTCACTAATTGGTACTGTGCAAAATATTCAAATAATATTGATACTCAGTATTTGAAAAAAAAAAACATACAATCGTCTTGATATACTATTATACATTATGTGTAAGGTGAAATGCACTTTTCTATCAATATACAAGATTTGTATCTTAAGGCAACGATGCAATTCACGCTCTGACCTCCAGTCCATCTCAAGAACTATGGGTGGACCTAGAACAATTTTCCGGAGCTAAAGCTTATGCCAGATACTCGAATTTTGCCATTGACAATGATAAAAACATGTTTTAATTGTCAATCAGTGGATATAGTGGAACTGCAGGTATAGTATCAGTATTTTGACATAAAAGCTACGTTTGCTTGTCAACTTTAAATCGAAATTTTGCCCCCACCCCCCACTCAGCCACTCCCCCCTCCCGAGAGAACATCGTATCTCACTCGTCCGTCTGTCTGTTACAAAAACTTTAAACTTGGCCACAACTTGAATGGGAAAAGATGGAGCTTTCTTATTTCACATCTACATTACATGTGACAAGCCCTTTCCAAATATACCCCGCATATTATGACCCCTTGACCTTGAAGTTTGACCTTTCCAAAAATGTTAACAATACTTTAAATTGGTCATAACATTATTAAAGAGGAAAAGTTGGCTTTCATATTTTACATGTTATTACCTGGGATAAATCTTGCTTAATATACATTGTATTATGATATTTTTACCTTATGACCTGGAACTTGAAGTTTGTCCTGCTTTGTCAGAAATGTTATCTTTCCTTATAACTTTTGATTGAGAAAAGATACGGCTTTTATAATTCATATGTGAAATGTGCATTGTTTTCAAACATGTTTTGACCTTTGATCCCTTGACGTTCATGTTTGACCTAATTTACAATAAAAAAAAAAATCAAAAAAAAAAATCGGTGATTACTTTTGGGTGACACATTATAGGACGTTTACATTTGACACAATAAATGATGGCATCCCATCCACTAAGACAGCACGGGGGGGGGGGGGGGTTCATTCTTATCACTTATTTGATATATTTTATGCTGATATATTTTACGTTATCGAACTTAACGTAATACGAATAAATACATTTTACGATATTGAACGTATATTAAAATTTCATATTAAATTTATTTATCAAAGGCGATGGACTTTCACCTCATAATGGACATGTCTTTGCTACAAAAGATAAACCTGATGGTCCAATATGTGCTATCACCTATAAAGGTGCTTGGTGGTATAATAAATGCTATCAATCGAATCTCAACGGACCTTATCACAAATCTGCTTCCAACACCTACACGGCAATTGTATGGATTCCATGGAAAGACAAGACAGCCTTGAAATCAACACGAATGATGATTCGTCCGAAAGAATAAATCCAAATGAATGTACAAAATACCTACTTCTAAAAAAAATAGCTGTACATTTATTCTAAAAATGATTCAAACTAAGTAAATAAAGCCCTTTAAAACTTATTGATTTAAAGTTTGATGAAAACTTAATGAATCTGCTTTACTTTCACTAAAATATCTAGATTACAAGATCAGTATGTACTGGTCTCTGCTGACAAGGCTGTATTTGTTTGCAAACCTCTGTTGAAATTGTATTTTAGAAGAACTGGAATTTAATTCTGCAAGTGGTAATCCAAAGCATACCTAAAACTTCCTTTCTTAGAAAGAAGGAATGTCTGTTTTTAATATTTTTAATATTCCTGACAACCAAAAAGAATTTAAATTACCATAGCTATATTGGATTCCAACAACGATGCATTGTTGCAACCACTATTGAAATAACGACCACTATTGAAATAATTATATCAATAGTGGTTGAGAGTGCATTTAAATAACAAACATAGTAAGTAACCACTATTGCAATACGACCACTATTGAAATAATTATATCAATAGTGGTTGAGAGTACATTTCAATAGCAATCATAGATAGTAACCACTATTGCAATACGACCATTATTGAAATAATTATATCAATAGTGGTTGAGAGTGCATTTCAATAGCAAGCATAGATAGTAACCACTATTGCAATACAATACGATCACTATTGAAATAATTATATCAATAGTGGTTGAGAGTGCATTATAATAGCAAACATAGTTAGTAACCTTTATTGAAATACGACCAATATTAAATAATTATATCGATAGTGGTTGAGAGTGCATTTCAATAACAAACATAGTTAGTAACCACTATTGAAATACGACCACTATTGAAATAATTATATCAATAGTGGTTGAGAGTACATTTCAATAGCAATCATAGATAGTAACCACTATTGCAATACGACCATTATTGAAATAATTATATCAATAGTGGTTGAGAGTGCATTTCAATAGCAAGCATAGATAGTAACCACTATTGCAATACGATCACTATTGAAATAATTATATCAATAGTGGTTGAGAGTGCAATATAATAGCAAACATAGTTAGTAACCTTTATTGAAATACGACCAATATTAAATAATTATATCGATAGTGGTTGAGAGTGCATTTCAATAACAAACATAGTTAGTAACCACTATTGAAATACGACCTTCAATTGATATAATTTTTCAATAGTGGGTGAGACTGCACTTAAATATAATAACCATAGGTTTCAACCACTATTGAAATACCAGCACTACTGAAATAATTATTCAATAGTGGGTGAGAGTGCATTTCAATATGATAATCCTAGGTTTCAACCACTATTAAAATACTACCAGCATTGAAAGAAAAGTTTCACCGCGTCCACAACTTATTTCAATAGTGGTTATTACCTATGTTTGTTATTGAAATGCACTCCCACCCACTATTGAAATAATTATTTCAATAGTGGTCGTATTGCAATAGTGGTTATTACCAATGTTTGTTATTGAAATGCACTCTCAACCACTATTGAAATAATTATTTCAATAGTGGTCGTATTGCAATAGTGGTTATTACCTATTATTATTATGAAATGCTCTCTCAACCACTATTGATATAATTATTTCAATAGTGGTTACCAACTATGTTTGCTAATGAAATGCACTCTCAACCACTACTGATATAATTATTTCAATAGTGGTGCATAAGGGGTTCCAGTAAATGTACTACCAAGCCTCCTTCATTACTCCTTAATCAAATATTAAAAGAAGTGAGGTAGAAGCTTTAGGAGTATTGTGCAGCAATAAATTCGAAAAGTGACATGACTATAATTAGTTCTGGATACTTCAAGCTTTCGATCCTGAGATTTTCAGATTTTGACTTACAATAATTGTGCAGATATTCAGGAACACTAAATAATAGAGGTGTCGGTGTAACGAAGAAAAGTGACCCCCGTAGACTATAGACGGGGGTCATTTTTCTACGTAGAAATTTGACTACCTGGTCAATATTCCACGTAGATAAATGACCCACTTTTTTTTTAATGAATTTTGGTCTTTGGGTCGTTTTTCTCCGTGTGCATTGTAGAAAAAATGACCCCGTAGAATAATGACCCAATATGACCTAATATCAAGCAGCTTTAAGGTATGAAGAGTTCATTTCTGAAAACTTTTAAGCTTAAATAAAAGAAATCAAAGTTATACTATACCTTACATAAACTAGAGGTATTGTGACCAATGAGCTCACTAAATGATACCCCCCCCCCCCCCCCGCCTCCCATATTATTATAATGGCAGTCCATGTCTTGCTGTGCACAGGAAACCCAAAATATGTAGCGTCCGTCCGTCTGTTACGCTTTGTGTTACCCATCTCTTATCTGCAACTTTCATAGAATCTTTATCACTTTACATATTGCCATTATGCAGCTCCTATTTTACTTTTTGATTCGACACATATTTTGGGTTCCCCACAGCAAAACATGGACAGTGCCATTTTATCAATATGGGAGGAGGGGGGTATCATTTAGTGAGCACATTGCTAACAGTACCTCTAGGTTTTCACAGTTGTCATTTTAATCTTTAAAATGGTCATTTTCTAGCTGGTATCAGAAAAAAGAAACTGAAAAGTTTCATAATTGTAAATCTCTTTGATTTTACCCTGGATAAATAATTTGCAAAAAAAGTTATATTTTTCAAAAGTTTAACGTCTTTTAAAACTGGTGCGAAAAAGGGCGCTTACTTAGAAAATTAGATCTTATAAAATATTTGGTTTTCTATGAATGAAGTTTCAAACTTCTCATAAAAAATATGGATGATTTAATTTGTAAAAATGAGTACTAATTAAATTTGCCTCTGACCTATGATACCAGGGAAACAAAAAGTGGTTAGCTCAAAACCTGTAAAATGTCTTTTGTCGTTTGCTAGTGTCAACAAAACCTTAAGAAAATGGGGGTTGTTGCATAAAAAAATGGTTAACTAAAATATGTGTTCGTTATACCAAAAATTTGCATATGCATTATCGTTTTACTCCTTTCTACATGTACTTACATGTGATGATTTAAGTAGTTTTTTTAATACCAATAGAAAAAAACCAAATGTTGGATTATGAAAACGTTGTTAGTTTAAATATTATATTCTTTCTAAATATGATAGGCAATGGTAACACATTTGAAGTTGCGTGTAAAAATATATAAAACTGTACAAAAATGTATTCTATTGCATAACACTGTGTTAGAAACAAGTACCATGCGAGATCCGTATTAGCGTATTTAATGTGGCGAGTTTTGATGGGAGAGGATAACGGGGTTGTAACCCCCTCTTTAAAGATAATAGATCTCTTCTAGCAATGTACATGTGCGTGTTTCCTACACAAAACTAGAGATACTGTGAGCAATGAGCTCACTAAATGATATCCCCCGCTTCCTCTGTGAATGTAATGGCAGTGTCCATGTTTTGCTATGAAAAACCCAAAATATGTGTCAGATCAAAAAGTTCATTCAGAGGTATAAGGGGAGTCGCAGGTAAAGAGATGGGTACCCCAAAGCGTAACAGACATACGGACGGACGGACAGACGGACATACCGATTACTATATACTCCCCCCCCCCCCCCGCTTTTCAAGCGGGGCTATCATTAAGCGTTAACCTTTATTATTTAGGATTAAAGATTAAGGATTTTATGATTAAGTGAAGAAAAGATTAATCGAATATCAATGTAGGATTTACACAGTAGTTCATAATGTGTATGGTGATACAGATCATACATGTTTCTATAATGATCAAAGAGGAAGAAGAGGACGATATTACCAGTATTTCAAATACAAACGTAATATATTGGTACTTTTATGCCCTTAGATCTAAGATTTGGGACATATTGTTTTAGTCTCTTTTGTCATTCCGTATTACATTTAATCGTCCACAAACTGTAAACTATTCTTAATGAAACTGATCTGATCAAATCCATCTCTTTACATAACCGTATTAAATGGCGTTGTACAGTAAAACCGAAAAATTCCAAAATAATGCATACAGATATACACGGAGAGTAATAATCCCTAAAGAAGTAATTATAATATTTTAAGTTGTTTTGAAATCCAATAGATTTTGATTGTTTGACAACGGAACCCCTGATTCATGGGTCATGAATTTCATAAATTTGGAAGAAGCGTCCTTCCTCATTATAATATCATTATAATATCGGTTTAATACCCAGGAACAGAGAAGAAGATTTTAAAAGAAATTGTGCATTTTCACTATATAATCAATAGAGCCCTACCATAACACCAAAACAACCGACCCGTGAAATTCACAATTTTGAAAGAGACATTCTTGCTCATCATAACTACATGTATGTACTTGGTTAGTTTATTTGATACCCTGGAGCAGAGAAGAAGATTTTCATGTAAGTAATGCATTTTCACTATTCAATCTATTTATCCCCTCCCTAGCACTAGAACCCCTGACCCTGGGGCCATTTTATTCTAGTCTACTCATTCCTTTCCATTCATTTTCAATGCAGTGTCTTGAAAAGTGTTTCGAATAGTCCTTGTTTTTCAGCTTCTCACAATGAAAATCTGTGATGAAAAGTGGTCAACAAAGTAAAACTTAATGAATTCATCAAAGATTCAATCATGAGAGAAAGCTAAGCTTAATGTCATATGATTTTTATGTTGTATGTCATAGAGCTCAGAACATTATTTATTGAACAGTCTTCGTATGCAATCAAATATATATTGGAAAGGCGTAAAATACATAGTCATTCCCTACTTGAAAGTATAGAAGAATATAAGGAGACACGGATAGAAGGTTTAATTGTATAAAAAAAAACTAGGGGTCAAATTTCTATGGGGGTCATTTTTCAACGTGTGTGAAGTCGTAGAATTGAAATACTGTTCTTTAATGGTTTTCGAGGGTCGAAAAATGACCCTACTTGTCAACCTGGGTCATTTTTTTTACGTAGAAAAATAACCTCATGGTCAATATTCTA